ACTAATGGCCGTTAAAGCATTCGAAGTGGAAATTCTTTTGAGTCTTTTGAAAGGAAAAGAAGCGAAGGAGAAAAGTGACAGAGCGAGGAAAAGGATGAGGGCGAACTGGGAAAACTGAGAAATACTTGTATTCCTGTTTAGATTTTTCGCTCTCATTTTAGTCTTTTTCCAAATTGTTTTTCCGCACACATGAATAAAATCAATCTATTTCTTACCATTATATTCTTTTAAAATAAATCAAACGTGAAACCTAAAAGAGTACTCCGAACTGGATATATTTGGAGCAGTGAGAAGTAACGAATCCGTACCTTTCAGAACATTAACTAAATGCAGATACCTTTAGAGGAGAGCTCTTAATACAAAAAAATGGGTTTCCAACTCACTTCGGGACTAGTACTTCTGGATCGAACTAGAAAGCCCAAAAAAAAAAATAAAAAACAGGAGGCTTTTTAAAAAAATATTCGCATGGCATTATGCATTCGTAGGTTTTTTTTTTGAGGACAGTGGAAGCAATCCGGAATCTCATGCCAGCCTCAGGTAACCTTGAATATCGTGCACTTTGTACATGTCGGCATTTAGGAGAGGGTAAACTAGTGTTCCTGACGAGGTGATACCCTCCGGGTCCACATGCCTCAAAGCGTCCAGCTCTGCGTCGAGTCAGTTCTTTTAATTAAAGATGGCATACTGACAGAGCCAGTTAAATTAGTAAAGCATAAAAAGTGTATTCGGAGAAAAAATACAGTTCACTGCATGACTCCATCATCTCCATGAAGGACTCGCCCCTCACTGAGCCATTTCTCTGAGAAAACTAAGCGAATTCTTTCACCACCGTAAAACTAGCAGAAAGTATTTAATCCCGAGGGCATGGCATGTTTGGGCTAATCACAGCTCCTGAAGCATCTTTGCTTGCTGACGAGCCTCAAAATAGAGGACAATCGAGATGCAGCAATGATGTGTTCAAGAAAATTTTGAGTGAAGACAAAGCACAATAAAATACGTTTTAAATTGAAACGTATGTAATTACAGTGCACATTTCGGCTTTAAAGAATATAAATAGCAACGCGCACCAGACTAGCCGGTGCGATCATGCGTTTTGTGCAATTCAGTCCATCGAACGATGGCCTA